TCCTCACTCGTGCCAAGAATTCATAATCAATTCGAATCATGTTAAATCGTTCGAACAATGAAGTATTTATTCACATGCATAAAATTCACATCCATGCAGAGTGTCTCTTCATGGATGGAATGTCCGTATAATCTAATTTCCTTTTTTTTTTTTTCTTTGATAACGCGGAAAAGATCTCAATCAGTTAAAAGTATTGGTATCTTTTTTATATATATCTTATTTCGATTAAAATTTTTATCTTTTTATCGATTCGAAACAAAAACTTTCGATTCGTAATTTTATCAAAATTCTTGAATCGTCCATCACAGTTTCTTATCATCGATCGCTCTCTGTTATAATTTACTTCGAGTGAGGAATTCGTCGAGTAAAAAAAAAAGGGAAGGGGAAATAAAATTACGTATTTAATCAGATCGGATCGATATTTGTTCATCGATCATTTGTTCTTGCACAATTTGCTCAGATTAAGCACAGAATTCAAATGGACGCATCGTCAGATTGAAAAATCAATCGAAGCAATGGCGAAGCTTATGGGTTCAATTTAAAGGGGAAATCGATCGGTTTTCCAAATAACGCCGCGCGGAGTGACGTGTTTTCCAAAATATGCCCCGATTAACGCGATAATTAGATAACGATAATATCAGAAATTAATAAAGCAACCATTAATAATCCATGATCGAACAATAGCAATAGCGCCATTGGGAATAAAATACCTGGAGAGATAAACCGAAAATAAAGCTCCAATGCGATCGATGATAATTCATTCCATTAATAAAGCCACGATAATAATCCTTCTTTAAAAATACATACAAAAAAATAAAATTTACAATTTCACTCGTACATACTCATTGGCATTGACTCTCTTATTAACGAAAAAAAAATCCGTCTCAAAAATTTTCCCTCTCGAGATCAATCGACGAAAGAAAGAAAAAGAGAGAAAAAAAAAAATATCCCAACCTTAATAAAGCCACTATAATAATCCTTCTTTAAAAATGCATACGATAAAAAAAATAAAATTTACAATCTCACTCACATACATACTCATTGACGAAAAAAAAATCCGTCTCAAAAATCTTCCTTCTCGAGATCAATCGACGAAAGAAAGAAAGAGAGAGAAAAAAAAGAATATCCCAACCTTCACCACATTCTCTCTAAAAAAAAAAACAAACAATTATAATAAAATAATAAAATAATAAAATAATAAAATAATAAAATAATAAAATAATAAAATTATAATAAAAATTCACTTGATCCGGCCGCTTGATCTAGGTTCTAGGCGCGTACCTGGTATGGCGCGGGGCATCGAGGAACCTGCGCGTCTACGTGGACTTCACGTTCACCCTTCTGAACCGGGAACACTTCTCCATGAACGAGGGATTCTCCGGGAAACGGGTGAAGTTCACGTACGAGGCGCCCGCCCAGGGCAACCGGAACTACATCCCTGTGTCGGACCTGTACAGCCGAAATTTCGCCGACACGAACGGCGAGTTCCAATTAGAATTGTCGATGGCAAACGTGAGGACCGTGTACATGACCGATCTTAAGATGCCGGGCGGCACGTTCTCCTCGGGCCAATCGAAGCCCAACAAATTGGAGACCGATTATTTCGCGTTCGGCGGCTTCGATTGGAACCTGGTCATATATCCCCACGGGAACAAGGAGTTGGAGGGTTACCGGGGCCACGAGAACGGGATCAGCGTCTATCTGATGAGGATGAGCGGGTTCGATCATCGGTGCAGGGTGAGATACAGCGTCGCGTTGGGCGAGGGTGATCGCAGGATCGATTCAGGCCAGATCGAGGACCTGTCGGACGCTGAGCGTTGCGGTTTCGGGTGGCACACGAGGGTGAGGTGGTCCGAGGTGGCGCACAAAGGCGTGGTACGGGTTTCCCTCGAGATGGTCGAGGCGAGGACCATTTGCGAGGTCGCCGTCCAAGCTCGCGGCCCCTCCGTCCTGCCCGCGACCCCTTGCTACGATCGTGACAAGCAGGCGTGGATGATCAGGGCCGATTTGCACTCGGACACCGTCAGACTGCACCTGGTCTACAAAGATATCCATAACGTTCCGAGGAATCATTTGAGGTTGGTGTGAAAAAAAAAAAGAAAGAAAGAAAGAAAATTGAGAAAGAGAACATTTTTACGAGAAAAGGAAGGGTTTGGAGGAGAGTCGTGAAGCTAGGAAGGTAATATCGTGATAATTTTACCGACCGAGTTTCTTGCGATCGAGAAAGATAAAACGTAATTCTCGTGTATTTTTTACATTTTTACATGACCGATCGATCAATTTTATTAATTTACGACTGTAATTTAATTTAAAGATAACAAGTGTTTTCTCTTTGTATCTTCGAAGAAAGATACGATATAATCCGCGTATATTTCTATCGAGAAATAATTTAGAATCTCGCTCCTCGCTCGTATCCTCGTTTAAGTAAGTAAATCGTTTCTTCGAAATATTCGAGAACGCAACGAATTGTGTTAATTCTGATTGTCCAGGTACGTCAGTTGGTCAGCCTATCTTCTCCGCGACGAGGAGGCGAACATGACCGCGATCAGTTTGCCAGGAGCCCCGTTCAGCCGTTACTACGCCCAAGAGTCCGCGGACGAAGGTATCATAATGGAGACGAATCTCGACACGAACGAGGTGAAAGAAAATCACTGTCCGTTCCTGACCGACAAAGGGCAATTGAGGATCCGGCTTGAGTGGAACGAGAGCCACTTGCTGTTCCAAGCGACCTACCACAAGTACGACGACGTGTGCCGCATCCACAATCAACAGATGAGACGGGAGATCTCCCTCCTCCAGGCGGAGAATTACAGCTTGGAGAGGCAGCTGTTCAGTTATCAGAAGAGCCTCGCTTATACGCAGGCGCAGCAACAGCAACAGCAGCAGCAACATCAGAATCAACAGCATCATGGCGGCCATCAAGCCCATCTGGAGAGATCCGCGTCGACAGACACCGAATACGCCTGACAAGTGGAACAACAACAACAACAGATCCAACCAAACGAGCTGCCAGCCGCCACCAGTTGTCGACGACAATTGCCTATCGTGCACGAGGATGATCGTCGCGTCCACCAGAATCTTGTCCGGATGATGGATCGACGATTGAGCAACGTGCAGCTCCAGCAACGGCTGTACGAATCGGAATCAGGCTATCAGCAACGATACGGCGACGGTTCACCGTGTCACAGTATCGTCGATCAAACGGCGGATCATCAACAACAACGTCCAAGTATCGTGCAGCAACCGAAGTCGGCGCGATCCAGCGTAGGCAGATCGGACAGCGGCTCGGATCGTGGAAACGATCGTTACACCGGCTACTATTTGGGGTACGTCGGTCAGGCAGTGCACAAAAGACGTAGGACCACTTTCTGGGAGACCCTGACGGGTCTTGTGTGCTCATTGGGCGCTTTGGCTTCCAGGGCTGCCAAGATGGCCACCAGACGGGGAGAGCCACTTTGAAGAAGCTTAAGCGCGTTCTCGCGGACCAGTGGACTGGTACGTTTTACACGACACGTTTTGGGATCACGATATATCGGGGTATAAATTGGCGATCGTTCGTTTGCGACGTTTGTTGTGAGCACGTGTTCGAGGAACACGTTCGAGACGTGGCACAGGAGAAATAAATTGCTCCTGAGAGGGGGGGGAATGAAGAGTATATGAGTTGGACGGTGGCCAAGAGAGGTCGCTAGTTTCGCATATTCGTCGTGTTTAACCTCTAATTAAAGGTGTTGTTTGTTTCGAGGAAAAGATGAATAAGATGTTAATCTTAATTAGAGGGAATAATAAAGAAGGAATTTATATGTATAAAGGATCGTTGGATTTCACGAGTTGTCTCGTAAGTTGCGAAGGAGAGGATAATAGAAAGAATTTCTTTTTTTCCTGGTGGCCGCTGTACAAGCTCGTGACCAGATTTTAACGATCAACTCGACAATATATGGATGAGGAGGAGATGGATGAGGCGACGAGAGAAAGATGCGGGCTCGGAAGGTAATACTCGCACGTGGACTGACCGGATTGACTATTTTTCGTCCATTTTTTTTTTCAAACGGAGTCCAATTTGAGAGAGAAAAGAGCAGAAACGAAGAGGGCGAATGTTCGATTCGATTCGATTCCAAGTTTCTCGACGACAAAGCAGCTCTGACGAAGAAAAATTCAGCCGAATGGAACCAACTTATTGGAGCTGTTCTTTCTTGTGGAGAATCGTGAGGAGGAACCAGAAAGGATTTCGCGTTAACACGATTCGAACGCTGGAAAAATTTCACATACGTATACATACACGCATACACTTGATAGGAATCGATCAAAAGAGGGAATCGAAAGAGGAATTAAAAAAAAAAAAAAAAAAATAAAGTCTCCCTCGATCGCGAATTCTATTATACACGTACAAGAATACGATTCTATCTACTACTTTGTCAATTTATTAAGAGAAAACAAAAAACAAAAAAAATACCTATTTTCCTCTAAAGACTTTTTTCACCTATCGTCTATGACTTCTTTGATAATAAAGAATCCGTGCGCGGTGTAGTCGCCGAGTCGTAACAACATACTTATTACGGTAGAATACTTACACCTAAAACGAATGCAAACAAAAAAAAAAATTAATAATAATATTAATAATAATTCTTTAGAGTGCAGTCGATGTTACATAAACCGAAAGTAGGAATGAACGAAAGATGCTCTCGTTACAGAGCAATCAACGTGGTACATCATAAACATATGCATTCACGAATACACACACATTCACACACACACACATACACAACATACACACGGGCATTAATGTTCGTACTCGACCATAGGCTTTTTTTTTTAAATAAAAAAAGGCCAAAAGAGATCAGGGTAAAAAAAAAAAAAGAACAATGCGAACGATCCAAATTTTTGACTTATTATTCCACCGTGTTGAATTAATTTATTATTATGCGAAAAATTCGTTAATTTTTCTCGTTAATTACTCATTCTAATATATACATGTTGAATCTTTATATTATCAATTCGATCATTCTGAATCACTCGTCGAAACATATTTATATATCATTATTTTTTTTTCTTAAAATTAAATACTTACTAATCGCCGTTTTATCGATAAATTTATTATCTAAAAATTATTAATACGCGTTTTAGATAACACGATAAACTGTGTAATTTGTACCAGGGAGAAGTTAATGAAAAAATCCATACAGAAAAAAGAATCATGAACAACGTGCCGCGTGTAGCACTTATAGATCGAAGAAATAATTCAATTTATTGTTCGTCGAAAATATACACTCTCTCCAACCACTTTGGCCACGTTCTACTGTACCTGTACCAATATAGCGTCATACGTGCGAGGTCTTCGACGATATTGCACTTTTCAATTTTTGCATCCTGCGTTTATCCTCTATTTTCCTTACGTACGCTTTTCATATCATCCGCCATTTTCCATCGATCTTTCTTTTGCCTTTTTCTCGTACAACAATTTTCAAATGGGACGACAATCAATCTTCCTGAAGATAAATTTAAAAATTTCCCTGTCCAATTCCTTTCCCTTCTCTGTGATTTTTCAATTTCTTCAAATTTTTTTATCTTTAAAACTGACTCTCCTCTATTCTTGTTATCTTCATGTCTCTTGTTCTCAAAGAATCGCTAACTCTTCACGTTTCTGAAACAGTATGTCCCAATTTCAATACTGTTCTTTAGACAAGAACAGATACTGGACAAGGCTGGTCATACAAACTCAACAGATATAAATATCTCTTCGTGCAAACTTTCCTTTCCAATGTCTTGTACCCTTATTCTCCCTTTCCTACCATTTAAAGTAGTTCGCTTCAAATCAGTACTTTTCATCTTCCACTCCGGCTCAAAGTATATATCTGTATGTAGAGGCAAGAAAATTCAACCAGATTGTATCTACATTCTGGTAGTGCATCTACTTTCATATTGATTTTCTTGAAACAGTGAGAATTCTACAACCGATTCGTGAAACTGTTTCTCCTTATCTTTTCTATCTTGATGCCGATATGATGTCCCATTTGAAAGCTTCGTATCCTGTTCTTTCCTCCATCCCTCGTGTAATTATAGTTTCATATAACCGATATATGTACCTAACACATGTACTTACGATACGTGCACGTCTTGCATCAGTATACATCGCATCAGTAGCAAGACGATCGATACACCAGTTAGTTCACACGTTAGATATTACGTCTAACAGTCCACCATGAATCGTCGTGTACCGCGCACGTGTGTAGTTGAATCGGGCTTGCTTGTACACACGAAACTCGTCGACCCTCCCCCAATATCTGATTAAAAGCACCGATGAGAAAGCTGTTAGCGTTCCTCCCCAAAGTAATGTCTTTTCATTTCTTCCTTGCATTTCATGCTTACGAAAATTACTTCGATTTTTGATGTCGATACATCTCTGATTTCATTCTATCCTTGGATTCTGCTCTTGGAATCGAATTGTCTATTCGATCTTGATAAAGTAGATTCTGAAAAATATATAGTTATTTCTATGAGATAATTTTCAAAGAAAAATTTTAACGGTAGATTAAATTCCCTTCGTTTCCTCGTTCAAAGCTATTCTTTTATTTCCACTTCGATAGAGACAATTTTAATAAGCAACGAGAATGGCAAGATCCGCGAAATTCGAACCGGTGCTTTTAACAGCAATTCATTCGAGAAAAAAACGATACATCGCATGAAAGTTGTGTCCCTCCTCTGAAGTAGCGGAGTCTGTATACTTTGTACATATTATATAACTATACTAAACTGTTGATGATTTAAGAATGAAAATTAAATAAAAGAGAGTTGTGCCTATAGTATGCGCGAAGTGGAGAAGGATTTCAAGCGAATCGCATGATCGTGACATCATCGTTTCGTTTCCAACGATAAAAAAATAATTATATTCTCCAATTAGACATTAACTCGACGATATCTGTTGTTAAATTCATTATATAAATCTCGCATAATCTTCGTTATATAATTCGCATTATCGTATCTCTCTTAACTGCAACCATATTCCCCGACTTCTTTTTGGTTTTAGTACAATAAGTGTTATAATTTCTGACAATATATCTACCATATTGTGTGCTCTAATTTCCAGCATAATTTTCGCTTGAACGTTAATCGTGGAAAAATTACGTTCTACTTATTCTATCTAATATTCTATCTTTTTTTTCATAACTTTCAGGCTTAAACGATAAGAAAGCACGTGATATGATTGGCGAAGATAAAAGTAATAAATAAACTCGTTTCGCCACTAATTACCTTTGTTTTTTTTGTGTCGTTTTGTATCGTATTGCAAATCGTAGCCATTATAAAAAATGCTTGCTTTCGAATCAGCAAAAATTTATTCAAGATGCCAGACGGCTGAGATTCCCACGAAATCTTATTTCCATTTTAATATAGCGCCTTAACTTAAATTCGTAAAGCTGTCAAGATTACGTTTATCCGTTTATACTTCTTTTTCTTCGTCATTTCACGACGATACAAAGAACCTGCAATAAAGAATGTTCGAGTTAGCAAAAAAAAAAAAAAAAAATTGGAGAAAACTTTGAACGTGTCAGAATAAAAAAGAAAAAGGAAGAAAGAAAGAAATAAAAGAAATTAACGAAACGATGAAAAAAAAAAAATACGATCTTGCGATCTTCGACGATTTCCCTATGCTTATGAAGGCCGAGGATCATCATAATATACATGTGTAACACATTTCTGTAAACGTAATAGAAAAGAAAAAAATAGAAGAAACAGTCTCTCGTGCAACGCTCTCGTTCAATATCCTCGATTCAAAGTTTTCTTATATCTAATATACAGTCATGTGTATATTACTATAGGACCACCGACGGGAATCGTCGACGTCGATGCGTCCTCGAAGCTTGTCAAATCTCCCGCCTAACGGCCAACAATCCTCGAACTTGGTTCTAGTCTAGAAATTACTTAAAAATACAAAAGCATTAAAAAAAAAAAAAAAAAAAAAAAAAAAAAGGAAAAGAAATGGAAAAAAAAAACCACTGCAATGCAAAATCAAAACGATCGCGATTCGTTTCAAGCAGCGTTTGACCAGACCCAAGTTGGAGGAATTTTTTTTATCGGCGACAAGAGACCGATCGTATCTAATGTCATTGTATTGTTGTGTAATTTGTCAGATTTTATCGATCGCAACGTTTGCGTCCGCAGAAAAGCGAACAATGTATTAAAGAAACCGAACCGTTTACAGGAATCTCCCGTGTATCCCTCCTTGCCAGTCTAAACTCTCCTGTTTCACGGTTTTCAATTTTCTATCGAAACGCTTGCGACAGGCGTGACAGTAGCTCTGACAATCGCATCTAATCCGATCGAACGATTAAATCCCCGCGTCTGTCAGCGCGATAAACCAGCGATTTCCGCTTTGGCGTGTTCTAGTTAATGCTGCGGCGCTGCGGATAAATGTCACACGATACCTGGGAGAATTTATTAATGTTCAATCGAATATTTCTATCATAAGGAATATGATAAACTAAATGATAGTCATATATACTGTATGTCAGATACGTGTACATACCTTAAAAGAAACGGAATTCGAATATCTGGAACATGAAATATTCTATTCAATATTCGGGATACGTAAGGTATCTAATATCTGGATGTTTTGGATATCTAAAATAGCAACAGCGCAAGCATTTCAGTTAGTTCAAGTGGTATTCAATTTTCAAAAGCCTCGACATCTGATATTCCGAAACATTCTATAGTTACGTTTATTCACACACTAGATTTTCCATATCTTCTTATTTTTGTTTCTTAATAATCTAGAAATCTCATTCACGTGTCGTACATATTTCAATTCAATTCATTTAATTGCATTAAAAAGTTAGGTTATTATGTAAATAATATACAAAATTCGAATAATATGTATAAATCAAATGAGAATTAATTGGATATTAACATTTAAAATATTGTAACAAATTAGTAAATCAACCTGTCTTATCTCCCACATATCGTCGATATTAACAAACTTCCATATATGCTTCAAAGTGTACCCGCGATTCGGCTCGGCACTTCAGTCAATTAAACTCATTCTCGCGAGGGCCGGGTGCGGGTCATCATCGCTAAGAAACATAGAACATCAAGCGGAATACATATTTACACATATAACTATGCTATAGAATGGCAGAAATGCTTGGAATTTATCAAATCAGTCGGGTCAAGGAGCTTCATTCCTCTCTCTCTCTCTCTCTGATTCTTGATTCCATCTCTTACCATCATATTTTTCAAGCATTTATATATTTTCTTTTCCATCATTCATAACCTCTTTCTTCAGAATAAAATTGTTTTATTAAATTTCCGATTTTTTTGCGTCATCATATGTCAATTGACCTTTGGAAATCGATATGTGATATTGAATGATCCATTGATGAATCGATGAATCGATGAATTCGAAAAATCGGCTTCTATTTTCTGTAGAAATATTTTTTAAATTATTCTTATATATTATTTTGAATATTTAAACGAAATTGAAAGTTATAGGAATTGAAAAATTCTAAGTGATGAAAAAGACGAATAAAAAGATAGTACCCCGAACTTTTATTCGAGCTATGTAAATATCGGACATCGGCCTCTCACCCGTTCGTTCCGTGAATTCCATCCGATATTGCTCTTCCCCACTCCAACGTCGCATAATTAATTTTTGTCTATCGATATTCCGCGTCTGTAACTCTTTTCAAAAACGTTGGGATTCAGAGGAGAGGAAGGACGTTAATATTGTACTTGTTTCTAGGTTATCGGTTTTCCTTAAAAACGAGATATAAAATGAAGAGTATAATCGATAGTGTATATTTATCGTTAAAAATTCTAGAAAATTTACAAGATTTATGGAATTTGATATCAACTATTTAAAAATTAAATGAATATGCATTTTAGATCATTTTTTTTTTCGCTTCGCACACTATTCTTGCTCTTTTTTGTTCTCTTTTTATTTTCTTATTTCTTAATTTATTAATTTTATAATTTTTAAAAATATTTTCTCACATCCTTATTTCTCAAATCTTTCAAAATTGTACTAATTTTTTTCTTTTTATTTTATTCTATCAAATATATTCACAAATATCAACGCTCCATAACCCGACTTAACTAACAGAAATCGATAAGTATCGAAGATCATGATAAAAATCGAAACACTGAAAATCGATTTTTCACTCGATATTCTATCGAAGTTTCTTCTTATTCTGAAGTTTCACGTCATATCGCGCTGATGGACGATGATATCATAAAATAATATCAATTTCCTTGTCATTTTCGCGATAAAAATGATTCACACATTAATTTACAAAACTACAATCGCTTGCGAAGCAAATTACTTTATTCGAAATAATTTTCCTCGTTGTACATTTTTCCCGATATTCCTCCAATAGGAGCGAAAGTCACGTTTTTTCTTAATAATAGAACTCCCTCTTTCGTTACAATATTACCAGTATTCTCATACTTTATTGTCATGCTTTCTCTTGTACAATTAGAAATAAACAATTATTTTTCTAAGATATGATAATAACTGATAAACGATAAGTAATAAATAATTTGCAAACGATCGACGACCATGAACATATATGTATATTTTTTACGATAACGTCAATGAGTTTTGGTCGTTAAGGTTAGATAAGAAGAGAAACATGTTAATTTCGACAATTTATAATATAACATAACAAGAGGGAGTTTATCAAATCTAGTCGAGCGTTTCCTTTTTCAGCTTCTATCCTTGACTAACAACTCTTTTTCGATTGATGTATGTTCGTACTTTTTACGCACGATATAAACACATCTCTTTATGCAACAACTTTTTTTCATGTGTGATCTATTTGAAAGAAAAAAAAAAAACAAAAAAAAGAATAAAAAAAATGCGAATACAAAACCGTCATACGTTTCTCAGAGTTTTGAGACATATACTAATATACTTAAACCATCTGTGAGTCTGCCTCGTCTTTTATAAAGTTCTTGCTATATTCAATTGATGGTGGTATTTATTTCATTACCTCTCCGTTTATAATTTAATGAATAGTTCTTATAAAATCACAAGCTGTAAAAAAAATTTACAGCTACATTTTTATTCATTTCTTTTTTATTTTAAAAAAATTAAATTTAATTATGCTTTACCTATTTATTAATATCTATCGCTAGGTAATATATTAGATTTAAAATGTATATCAATCCTTGTAATAGTAATGTGATATGGACACAAGAGACATCAATCAAGCTATTCGGACTAATATGTTTTACTGCACTGAATACATCGATCATGATATACGAAACGCTATTATAAAGTGGTAAGTTCGAAACACAAATACAAATGATTATAGTAACTGATCTAAGAATAAGTAGTACAAAATTATAACATAATTTGAGGGAAAATTTGAAAAGTATAATTTATCATTTTTGCTTAAAAAAACATCTTTTATTATCATTCCACAAAAATGAGAGAATTTAGAAAAATTTTAATTATTTATTAATTATTAAATTATCAAGTTTAATGAGAAAATATTTTAATTCAGAAGAAATGAAGATTCATACCATTATTAAATTGCTATAAATATATGTATTTAACTAATAGATATTGATAATAAAAATGAACAATGTATATAAAGCAAATTTGACCCATACCCAATCATTACAAGTCACGAGTTACGAAAGACCGAACAACCAACAGTCGAATTGCGACTGTCGCCTATATCAGTTCGTATGGTGTTAGATTATCATAATTTTATCATGTTATAATACAAAACTATATTTATTTTTTCTAAGAATTTAATATACGCAATCGCATATACATGCGCACCAACAAATATTGGTCAGTTCATCGTAACTGTAACGTTTATTTGTGATTTAAGGTTATGTTTTCCACAAGAAAAAGAAAAAAGAAAACTATCTTGAAAAAGTGTTAAAAAATTAATTTTAGAAATTTATTAAATAATTAAATAAAAATTTTACAAGTGAAAAGTGATAGTGGAAAGCATTTATATAAAAAAAGAAAACAGATTGCAACACCAAAACATTGAATAATCATTAAAGTTGCTGATACAGTGAATGAATTGATCTTATAATTTGTTAATAATTGCTATATTATCTCAATTAATATCAATTATTTAATAAGGTCTTCTTAGAGATTATATTTTTCAATTTTAAAACTTTGAATATAACGAAAAATAAGTTTCATTCGTTATATTGTATACATATATCATCGATTATAAAATTCAACATTTCTTGCAAAAAGAAAGCTAAAAAACGGCGACTGAAGAAGAAAGGATTCATCAGCAAGGTCATTTGACCTATTTAGACCCACTGTTGATGAATAATAAAAGACAAAATATGTTGAGCCAAAAGTTAAGTAATAGAAGGTTATTAGTTGACCTACTTGCACTAATGTTTGGTCTTGGTGCATGGATTGGTGTGAATGGCATTTATGTTCAATTACCACTTCTTGTGAACGAAGCTCCAGAAGGATGGAGTCTTCCAGCACATATGGTTATGTTAGTACAATTTGCCAATTTAGGACCAATACTTTATACATTATATATAAAGTATGTATATTAAAAATATATTTTAATAATTCATAATATATTTCATGATATATCTCATAAATATATTTTCAATTCATAATAATTTATAAAATATTCTTTATCAAATATATTCAAGTATTATTTTTTTTTGTTTTAGATACAATAAATGGGCATGTGACAAATATATTACATATGTCCTTTTAGCAGCAGGAGCAATGTCTACATTTATATTAGCTTTTTTATATGATAAAACTACTGTAATATTTGGCAATAAGCATTCCACTGCACTATTATCATTAATGTTTGTAACTGCTATTGTTGGATGTACGAGTTCAGTACTTTTTATGCCATACATGAGGAACTATAGAGAAATTTATTTAGTGTCCTATCTTGTAGGAGAAGGACTCAGCGGATTTGTGCCAAGCTTAGTGGCATTAATCCAAGGTGTTGGTGGAAATCCTGAATGTTTAAATATTACTAAATCTGGATCTAATGAATTGATACCTTATTATCCAGAACCCAGATTTTCAAGTCAGACTTTTTTTATTTTTATTGGTACTTTATTGTTTTTATGTTTCTTGGCATTTTTGGGATTAAACAATTTATCTATTGCTATTGGAGAGCGTGTGAAACATTCAGCAAATATGGAAACATTACCAACAGATACACGAGCTCCTCCCAGTTATAAAACAAATTCTGGTTGGGCAATGTCTAAGCAAGTGTATTCATATTTATTAATTATGATGGGAATGGTTTGTTTTTTAGGTAATGGTACATTACCAAGTATTCAATCATATTCTTGTTTGCCGTATGGAAATGTTGCATATCATTTAACTGTTACATTATCATCAATGGCTGGTCCATTGGCAATGTGTTTAGGTTTTGTCATAAAAATGCCAGAAGTTAATTTTCTTTCTGGTCTCATGGTTATACTTATAGCACTTTCTAGTTTTGTTTGCTTTCTAGCTGTTGAATCACCTACACCACCTTTGCAAAATACCTGGTTAGGTGAATTTTTGGTAGTTTTATCTTGGATATTAATTAGTGGTTTGATAGGATTTATAAAATTGGGTATTACAACATTATTTAGGCCTGATCCTGGTAGAGGTTTATATTATACTGGTGTTGCAACTCAAATTGGATCATTGATAGGAGCAATAATTACATTTGTCTTAGTTAATCATGCAAAACTATTCCATTCTTATTCACCATGTTTATTAGTTGCAGCAAACTGACGTTTAATATGATATTTATATTTAATAATTTTATTAGTAAAAATTGTATAAAATTAATTAAAATGATGTATATCTCTTAGCTTCTATTATTTATCAAATTATGAAATATGAAAAAGTAGGGTCTAACTATTTTTAAATATTATAAATCTGGAACATCGAATTAAGAATATATAGTTTATTTACACACATAAATTAATATAAAAACAAAATTATTTGGATTTTATAATTTCAATATTAAATAGATCAATATTAAAGCCAATCGAACTTCCAATTTACTTATAAAATTTTAGAAAAGCTAAATATTTTTAATAATTGAAAATAAAGAATTATAATATATTTTTATTTCAATATGAATTTAATTCAATTAGATATATAAGATATGAATATAATTAAAAAATAGTCCTGTATATTTAAACAAAATTTGTTTGCATATAAATAAATAAATAATATTTTCGAAATTTTAATTTTAAATTCAAAAAATGCAATTATAATATAATTTATTGCATAATAAATGTTTTGAATAATTTTTATATCAAAAATATCTTTTATGTGAAAAGATGTTACAATACTATAATGATTAATTTTATTACAAAAATATCCAAAGTTTAATTTTATCATTTATTTTGAGTTTAATAATTAATGATGAGTTTAATAATATTAAAATATTAAAATGTACTTAATATAAAATTTAACTATCATTATGTCAATTCAAAATGATTACTTAAACTTTATATTTTATCTGATAAATTTTATTATTCGGATTAAAGAAAAGTCACATCTTATGATTTTATCATATCAGTTTCTCTGGTTTAAGTGCATTCTATAATGTAAAATTTTAAACTTTTCGTTTTTTAAATAATTTTATAAAATACATAAATGAAATAATAAAAATTTTTTTTAATTATAATATTTGGAAATTTAATAAAATAATTTGGTGAGAAATCAGTTAATAAAAAATTATATAAATATAAAAAACTTTAACTTTATTTAAGATAATTTTTTTATTAATTATTATTCAGGCATATAAAAATTTGATTTTTTCTATAAATGCAGAATGATCCATATTACACAAGATAAAAAAATATGCAATGAAAAAACTTATATTGTTGTGCATTTTCTTATAATATTATTTGGCATATCTTCTTGGATTGGTATTAATGGAATATTTATTCAAATACCAGTACTTATTAATACATCTCCTGAAGGTTGGTTGTTACCAGTTTATTTAGTATCAGTAACTCAAACTGCAAATTTTGGTCCATTACTATATATAATCTTGCAATACTTCAAATGTAAGATAAATGAACCTTGGTGGATAATGTGTTTGCTGGTGTTAGGAACTTTGGCAATGGGATTTCTAAGTTTCTTTCATTCTGAGAAAACTGTTATTGCTGATGATGAATACAGTTTGCTATTATTTGTTTTAACATTTTTCAATGCCTTAGTAGGTTGCTTTAGTTCTATATTATTTATACCATATCTTCGTAACTTTAATATAAAATTTTTAACATCATATTTTATAGGAGAAGGATTAAGTAGTGTACTGCCAAGTATTATTGCTTTGATACAAGGAATTGGATATATTTCAGAATGTATAATTTTTAAAAATAATACTAATATAGAATCATTAGAATCTTTTGTTTTAAAATTTTCTCCAAGTGAATATTTTCTATTTATTTTTATTATTTTATTTTTATCTTTAGTTGCTTTTGCTATTTTAGAATATTCTTCAGTTTTTCAAAACATAAAACAAATTCATAATTCTATCAATATAGTACTTGGTGAAAAACAAGCATATGATTCTCATGATCATTGTACTAATAATATACAAGAAATGAAACATTATTTAGTAAATAATAGCAAATATTTAACTAAACAAACACGAAATTATTTATTTATATTACTTGCTATTTTTTGCTTTTTGAGTCATGGTTTCTTTCCAAGCATACAATCTTATTCCTGTTTACCTTATGGAAGTATAGCATATAAATTGTCAATAATATGTGCTCAAGTTGCAAATCCACTTATGTGTTTATTAGCATTTTGGTTTAAAATTTCAAGTATAAAAATTATTAATTACTTATCTGTAATATGTTTATTTATTGGAAGTTACGTTATATATTTAGCAATGTCTTCATCACCACCTTTACAAGCAACAAAACTTGGCATTTTTTTAGTTATAATATCATGGGCACTCTTAATAGGATTTGTTTCTTATTTAAAATTAATTGTTATATCAGTATTTAGAAATACAGTGCTTCCCAATATACTCTTTAATGTAGGTGCAATTATGCAAATAGCATCTACAAGTGGTGCAATATTTTCATTTATAATAATTAATTTTACAAATTATTTTAAAGTACATGATAATTGTGCTTAAATAATTGATATATTAAATATATATCTTATTTATTTTATATGGAAAATAGTAATTGTAACACTTTTATTGAATATATCGTTACATGATTTATATACTTACATATGTACAAAATTATAATAATAATGATTTTTTATTAAAGTAGCTTTAAACAAAAAAATTGATAAGATATAAGATATAAATTTCTATCTACAAAAGTATTTTTATAATTGTACATATGTCTGCATGAACATGTGTCTTTATGAATAAACAAATAAATGGATAAATAAATAATATAAAATGATTATAGAAATCATGAAGTTATAAAAATTACACATAAAATATATATATTTTATCTATTGTTATCTTAAGTACTGCCTTCCAATACTGTACTTAAGATTATTATGTGTATACTACTAGTTTCGAATTATATTTTATTTATTAAGGAAAAATCACATTTATGTATCATAATCAATTGTTTATAATATATAAAAATTATTCTAAATGAATTTGTTGGAATATTTTGAAAACATATTCTTTTATTACGAATATTTATAAATTATGTCCTAAAATTTAATGATTGCCACATAATTAAATTTTAATAAATATTATATTATATAATTAATTATAAAAAATTCTTTTGTTTATTATAAAATGTATGCAAGATGTAATGGAATTTTATAAAGTGATTTATACAAATTTGCAAGTAATAAAAAAAATAATAAAACGAATAAAATAAAAATATTATTTAAACTTGTCATTATACGTTGTCAGCCCTGTCTTGGAAGATTGTGAAATTTACTAAAACGGAGGTGGTAAATGACTCATAAGTGCTCATATAAAGCTGTATCGTATATAAGAACCAAAACGGTAAATAATAAAGTCAAATAAAAAAACAACCATTGCATTTATTTCTTTTTATTGCGTGCTGAATCATCAAGATATTTAATAGTCAATCGAATGATATTATTTAAAAACGTAATATTTAATACTCTCCTTATTAGACTAAAATGTGTGATGAAGAACAGCATTTCTCTCAAATTGAATCTAATCAAACGGAATTCCAACTATCTTTATCGGATCTTCCAATCGAGGTTTGTATAAACAAATTTTAGATTTTTATATACGCATCTTTGATAGAGAAATAATACTTAAAAATATATGTATATGTATTCATGCATATATATAAATGAATTTTCAAATAATTTTAAAAAATTCAAAACTTTATCAGATAATATTTATTATCTATTATTATTTCAATTAACTTTTTTTAATTATTAAGACAAATTACAAATGCTATGTTATTGTTTACAAACAATAAGATAACTTTTATTAATATAAATTTTAATATAATGATGATATCATATGTAATATTGAAAAAATGATTTTTAAAGTAAAAATTGAATTCGATTAATAAGCGAGCTGTAACATATGTTCTTTGAGAATAAATGGAATATTGCGACAACTTTAACGAAACGTCAGTAACACATAAACGCCATTTTTAAATCTCTATTTCGCACAGTAGTACATGTATTTCAAAATTTAATTTTAGTTTTGTGTTTTTAAATGAAAAGTTATATTATATTTAAATATTTTTTCATTACACATTATATTTTTTCCACATAATAATCAAAGTTTTTTATTATAATATATGATATAATATATAATATACAATAAAATTATTATAATATAATTTTTTATTATAATATATAAAATTAATAAAAATTTGTATTATTATATTTCAGATATTTCTTCACATTTGTTCCTTCCTAGATGCATCTACATTAGTACATGGTTTGAGTTTAGTGTGTAAACAATTTTATCAAATTTTAAATGACAATTCATTATGGAAAGCGAGGATTAGTCAAATTTGGCCAGATACTGGTTATCCAGTCTTGCCTCCTGGTTAGCTCAAATTGATAGCACCTTGCGCCTTGCACGACCAATCATTCTGTAAATAAATAAAACACCACCTATTACTGTATCCAATAACTAGTTATATTTCATATTTTTCATTATAAAAACATATTAACTTTAAAATTAAATTTTTATACATACTCTATATCATAAGAAATGAATGTTCATAAATAATAATATTTCAATTAACAAAGAAAATATATAATTTATTAAAAACTGCAATTAATTTAATTTAATATTATATTTAATTTTTTATTTAAAATATATTCTTACATATTAATATTATTTGCTAAAAATTATATATATTTATTTTCTTTATTTATTATAATATATTATTTTTATTTCTAAGCTGAGGATGATGAATTATTTTGGAAATTATCATGTGTTGCATTGGAAAAGCAAACATCATTATGGAAAAGAAAAGATTATATGGAGAAGTTATCACTTAGTAATGTGCAATACAGTACTATTGATGGCTTATTATTAATGCAGGCTAGTACAATATTTTAAATAATGTTTTATTTCATATTTTTATAAATTTATATTTACAATAATAATACTCATATTAATATATAATTCATATAGGAAGGAAATATTTGCATATCAGGAGCTAGAGATCGATCTTTGGTATGTTGGAAACTTTCTACAAAAGAAAATGAAAGAGAGAGTCACACATGCATAGATTTTGCTCATGATGGATGGATTTGGGATTTAGCAGCAATAGATAATACAGTCTATAGTTGTAGTTGGGATCAAAGTGTTAAAGCATGGACACTTACTAACACTGGTCTCATTCACTTCAAAACTTATGAGATGTACATGAGCTGGTCATTTTCGCTGCTCTCGTTATGGGAAGGCCGAGCGAGGAAGGCACGAACATTTTTTATTCATTCTTAAATAATATTTAGGCAATGAATTATATTCAACAAAAAGAATATTGAATAGCAAATATAATTTTTTGTAATTTTTTCGAAAAGAATAATTAAGCAAGAAATCTTTGCTTTCACTCGCTCTGCCAAAAGTAGCTATGTATTATTCTAATAAGTTACAATATTATATGGAAGCATTAACCAATTTTTTAGGCTCGTATCAGGTGCTTTATTGTGTGTTGCATCTTGCCAAGATTTAGCACTCTTTGCGACGGGATCATTTTGTAAAACTATTTTAGTATTTGATCCGAGATTAAATTATAAACCTATTATAAAATATCGACCACATAAAAGAGCAGTCATTAGACTAGCTATGAGTTCTCATTTTATTTTATCTGCAAGTGAAGATAGAACAGTATCTATATGGGATCAAAGGGCAGGAAGAACTATGAAAAATGTTACAGTAAGGATATTATAATAAAAAGTTTTATTAAAAAATAGTAAAATTTTACTAATTTTATTTTAATATATTTTAGATTTCTCAGGAATCATTTCCTATGAGTATGAGTATGGAAAAGGACATAGTTTATGTGGGAGATGGTAGTGCAAAATTACATGTACTTGATCCAAAAAAGAATTTTGAACCAGTTAAATGTTACACTACTGAACATAAAAAAGGTATTAATGGTGTCCATATTGCACCAGGATGTTTACTCACAAGTTCTATGGACAAAACAGTTAGAATTTCCAGTCCTACTGATCCTCCACAACATCTTACTACTTTAAAATCTAATTATGGTGAAATTGCTAGTGTAAGTGATTTGAAATAACATGAAATATTTTTATGAATTTTAATTATTGTTAGTTATGTAATTCTTAATAATTATATAATTATAATAAATTTAACTTAATAAAAAATAATAAATAATAAATTTAATTACAGACAGATTATTTAAATGATGTTCTTGCTGTTTCTGGTACAGAGGGAATCGAAATTTGGAGACCAAAATCACGAATACAATGTGCATAAAAATGTCAATAACTAATGACTTCTATAAACATTTCGCTTTTATATACTGTATACATCTTAAATTTTAATAAATGAATAAATAATAAAAATATATATAATTTAATAAATGTTTTGTTATAGTTTTTCCATAAATATTTATTTATTTTTTAATTATTTATTCGAAAAAATAAATCAAATAATAATAAAGTATAAAAAATGACAATGAATGATCGATTAAGTATAAAAAAAATCATTAAAAAATGTTTTATTATAAATAACATTTCTTTCGACATTTAAAATTTAGCCGCTAAACAGGAGTGTAATTGTCGAATCAAAAGCCCCGAAGAAAAATTTGTTTGTCAATTATTTAATTTAAAATTTATTTTAAAAATTAATACGTATCACATATTATTAATAGTTTAAATATTTTAAAAAGATAATAGGAAACATTATATATAACGACAAAATAATATTATATTTGAAAACATTATCCGAACTTATAAATCCAAATAGCAGGCCAATCGATGTCACTGCTGTCGCCGGAAATGCTCGTCTGCTAAGCATCGAAAACGTTCAATTGTCTATCTGCATGAATTACATAAAAATGGAATATCGTTATGAAACGATGTTAAATATTCATCTAATTGTTTTGAACAATTAATCGCAGATCCGACAGCACGACCTAGCGAAATTTAACTAAAGAATCCTAGTGTCGTACGCCGGTATCTTAATGCTTTCGTGGCGTGATGGTGGGGGTAACCGTGGGGAGCTTCCGTTTATCTGCGAGGTCAGAGAAGGCTGGCTGCGTTCAGTGGTGCTGTTGAAAAACACGATGAAAATGGCGTGGCAACCGCAAGAGGAAGGACTTCGACAAATCTTGACGCTCCTCAAGGAGTCTCAGAGCCCGGATACGGCTACGCAGCGAGCCGTTCAAGAAGTATCCTTTCTTATACGATCATAAATCGTTCAGTGCTATGAAAAAGTTCAATTGAGAGATTTTTGTTCCCGGTGAGTACACCCGCGACGCGGTAACGAAGTAAAGCGTATAGGTCAATCAAGGGGCGTGCTTTCCATCTCATTAAAAATAAGGCTTCTTTTAAATAAGTTCGAAAATTTAATGAAAAAGATACAACAAAGAGTCTCAATAAATATAAAAGCTATCGAGATATTTTATTAGATATAAGATGGAAAAATGTTCGGCGCGCTTTTGCGCAGCCTGTCACGGATCCCCTTTTTTGTCATCTGTAGTTCGATTGAAAAGTCGTTGAGACACCGTATTGTAACAAATA